CTAGAAAGGGTCCACTTTAGGAAAGTCAACAATCTTTACCTGTAGTCACAAGGAATGAGAGCCAGGACCAGTGTGCATATGGGTCTGTTTATTAGAAAATATATTTTGGATCATATTTGTATTTTAATTAGTATAATTTGGGTTTTTTGGTGTTGCCTTTTTGTATACTTAATATCTTAACAGGACTTATAAGGATATTATAGATTATACATAGCAGTATATATACACATATTATTATTATTTTGTATAGTGGCACGCTCACGGCCACTGCAGCCTCGACTTGCTGGGCTCGGGTGATCCTTCTGCCTCAGCCTTCCAAGTAGCTGGAATTACAGGCACGTGCTATAACTCCTGGCTAATTTTTTGATTTATTGTAAAGATGAGGTCTCGCCAAGTTGCCTAGGCTGGTCTCAGACCTGTGGGCTCAGGCAGTCCTCTCACCTCAGCCTCCCAAAGTGCTGGGATTACCGGCATGAGCCATTGTGCCTGGCCAGCAATATATATTTAATAGTATTAAAGTGAGTTATAGATTGGAAAGAAAATAAATAATAAAATTGGAGTGTATATTTGCATTTTATTAATTGCATTTTTTTGTATTTATATTTGTTAGAGTTTTTTATGAAAAGTAATTTTGGACTAGAGTTTATTGTAAATGTTTTTAGAGAAGAATGTAGAATAATTATGGATGACAAAAATTTAGAATAGTCATGCTTAAAAATTTGATGAATTTTTTAAGTGACAAGGAAATTTAATTATTTTTATTATGTCTAATGTTTTAAGATAATAGCTAGAATTGTGACTGTGCCATATCAGAACTACTAGACTTCTGTAAATTTTATATAATTTTTAGAATATTTCTACTAATGATATATTTACATAACTTTAGAAAATATTTAATATAATAAAATTATGACTGATAATTATATTTTATACATGTATATGATTCTTTAATATTTATATTAATATTTATAAATGTAATTGAAAGAAAATCTAGTATTTATTATTTGGTAATATCTTTCATATAATTTATTAAATAAGTTTAACTACTTAACTCATTCACCATCGCTGACGTGAATTTATGTCTTTCCAAATTCTGGTCCTGGTTGCCGCTGATGTGGATTTATGTCATTGCAAATTCTTTCTGAATGCTGCAACGTTGTCATATGTCTGTGTTATTATATTTTGCTTGAAAATGAATAGTGAGGCAAGGAGAGAGAAAGTTGAGATAATTATCTGATATCGACTGCACAATGTCATTATTGATTTACAAAGTTGGTAAAAATTGCAAGTTGGTCATTATTTTGTTGCAATCAGTGTTATATACTTGTATGTTGATATTTCAGGGGTTTCATACTTCAACATTAAAAATAATTTACTATAATTATGGAAAATGAATAAATATATGTTAATGAAATTTCTGAGGTTGAAGGTGAATCCAGTGAACTTATTAGTGATAGTGAGACAAATAGTGATGTAATGATGCAATGTAAATGAAAAAATATATATATATTACATATATTCAGTTTATAGTTTGAATAAAAATACAAAGTACGGAATGCTAGTCAGAGTAGTGTCCAAGGCAAATACTGGATATGTCTGCAACTTTCAGGTGTATTGTGAAACAGGTGACAGTTTAGAAAAGACCATTTCACTTATGCTTAACGACTGAAGTGGGTGGCAACCAGCTTCAGATTTTTAAAAATTTTTACTCACTCTCAGTATTAGAACAATTTGCCCATTGCAAATGTGTTAATATCTTAATAGAACTGCAGATACACTTTTTGAAACTTTTTAGGGGTCCAGTTGGGAAATTTTTAAGTTAATTTTAAATAAAAAAGACTTAATTTTTGATCTTGGGGGAAATCTGTCAAAGTATCAAAAAGTTTAAAATACTTGATCAAAATAGAATTATAGGCCATTGTAAAATAATAACTATTTATTTCATTACAGTAATACTTAAAAGACACCTCAAAGGCAATATAGGAAGTTATATGGATGTAAAAATCTTAACCTTTTTAAAGCTGTTTTTCTTTTTTATCTTTCTTTTTTGAAGTCAGGGTCTCACTCAGTTGCCCAGGCTGGATTACAGTGGCATGATCCCATCGCACTGCAGCCTCAACCTCCAGATCTTGTAATTCTCGTGCCTCAGCCTCCCAAGTAGTTGGAACTACAGGCATGCTCCACTACACCCAGCTAATTTTAAAAATTTTTTGTAGAGACTAGGTCTCACTATGTTGCCCAGGTTGGTCTTGAACTCCTGGGCTCAAGTGATCCTCTTACCTTGGCCCCCAAGGTGCTGAGATTACAGGCATGAGCAACTGCGCCTGGATCTTCAGCTTTTCCTGAAAAAGACAAATGTTGGAATTATCATGATGACATTTAAAATCTTTGTTGTTTTAGACCAGCTACTAAAAGGGTAAAGAAAAACTCGTAGTGTGTTTATCTTTGTAGGAAGACTATTTAGATAACTTAGAAGTCAAAGCTGATGAAAAAGTTATCTGAATTTAATCAGACACAGGAAGAGTATGTCCAGGGTTATGATTGTATATTATATGCTAGGGGAATTAAAAAAAAAATTAGTACCTTGTATAGGGAAATATATGGCTCTTAGGAACAGAATGGAGTGCTTTTTGGTTATATTGAATAATATAGACATATCAAGACAAGCCAAGAGTATAGAATTAATTTATACTGGAGAAACATATATAGTTTTTAGACTTTTTTTTTTTTTTTTGAGTTAGAGTCTCACTCTGTCACCCAGACTAGAGTGCAGCCTCGACCTGCTGGGCTCTGGAGATCCTCCCGCCTCAGCCTTCCAAGTAGCTGGAACTACAGGCGCACGCTACCACGCCCAGCTAACTTTTTCGATTTATTGTAGAGATGAGGTCTCGCCAAGTTGCCCAGATGGATCTCGAACCCGTGGGCTCAGGCAATCCACTCACCTCAGCCTCCCAAAGTGCGGGATTACAGGCTGAGCCACCGAGCCTGGCTCAGTTTTTAGACTTTTAAGAGAAATATTTTTGGTCGGGCGCGGAGGCTCAAGCCTGTAATCCCAGCACTTCAGGGGGCCGAGGCAAGAGGACTGTCTGAGCCCTAGGGTTTGAGACCAGCCTGAGCAACTTGGTGAGATCTTGTCTCTACAAAATATCAAAAAATTAGCCAGGCATGGTAGCGCATACCTGTAGTTCCGGTTACTTGAAAGGCTGAGGCGGAAGGATCGCCTGAGGCCAGCAGGTCGAAGCTGGGGTGTCCGTGAGCATGCCACTGCACTCCAGCCTGGGTGACAGAGTGCGACTCTGACTCAAAAAAAAAAAAAAAAAAATTATCGTCAGGCTATCATGTCAGTAAACTGGAGAAAAACTCATAGAGTTGAAGGCAACCATGTTTGACCTATAGTGAGGAATAGCAAGAGTTGAACTTTTGAGATAGAAATTTGACAAGTTTTAAAAAATAATTTTATAATTAAAAATTAAAACCTCTTGTGATCTTATAAAGAATAAATTAGTATTTTAAGAAAGGGATTCAAAGAACCTGTGCTGGTACCAAGGCACTGGGTCCCAACAGTGTTCCAGACCACCCTGGGCAGTCTACTCTGAAATCTTTTGTGGTTGCTATGATTACTGACTAAAGAAAATAAATCAGGCTTTTAAAGAATTAGTTTTAAGGCTGGGCACGGTGGCTCATGTTTATAATCCCAGCACTTTGGGAGGCCGTGGTGAGAGGGTTGCCTGAGCCCATGGGTTTGAGACCAACCTGGGCAACTTGGCAAGACTTCATCTCTACAATAAATCAAGAAAAATTAGCCAGGGGTAGTGGTACATGCCTGTGGTTCCAACTACTTGGAAGGCTGTGGCAGGATTGCCTGAGCCCAGCAGATCGAGGCTGCGGTGGCCATGAGCATGCCACTGCACGCCAGCCTGGGCTACATACAGAGTGAGACTGCACCTCAAAAAAAAAAAAAAAGAATTAGTTTTCTTAAAAAACTTACTGAGGACTATAGACTGAGCCCTGCAGCCCAGGTACAGCCCTTTAGAGAGGTTGTCAGACTGAATGTAGTATTTTGGTTCACGGTTTATATACAGGTGGTGAGGATTTAGTATGTGTAAAGTTACATCTGAGTGACAGAATACATCTGGCTATAGTTTATAGAAGCATAACCACTAAATCTGTCAGCCATTATCTTACACGTAGGAAAAGGCAAGGATTAGGGTCATTTGTCTTTTAAGGAATATAGTAACCCAGGCAAGAGACGTGGAGGGCAGTGTTTTGTTTTGTCTTCAAAGCATCTTTCTGAAGACAGTATATTGTCACAGAGTCAGGGACTGTGAAATTATGCTGGCAAGCAGAAATGAACAAACATGACTTTGTACGTTTGTTGCTTTGTCTCACAAGAATAATGAATTTATTATAAAATTAAATATGTACAAATTATGTTTATGGGCAGGGGAGGTAAAAAGGCAGAACCAACAACTGGGATGACACCTGGGTTCTCCCAATGTCTCATGCGTGGCAGCTGGATTTGGGCCGATGGCCTAGTCCTGACTCTCCAGCTGCTAACATCACAGGGACTGTTAGAGCCTGTTCTCTCTTTGTGCCTCAGTGTTCTTACTTCTAAAAAAGCGGGGGGGGGGGGGAATGTCTAAACATCTCAAGAGGCATTAGCTGCACCCCTAAGGTCAGGGGTGAAAGGGCAATAGGCTGTTTGCCCTAGGCACCATTGCGGTTGTGCTTCAGTCACTGTTGACGGTAAGGAAAGGGGATTTTTTTCCTCTTCGAAGCTCCCCAAAGGCGAGGACCCCTCCTCCCACTCCCACGACCCAGCACCCACGGAGACGGTAGTGCTGTTTTTCATCCAAGTGCCACACAGCCTCCAAAAGGGACCCCAACTGGCTGCAGGGGCTCTCCTTCCTGCGACCTCCGCTCCACACCCGGAAGTTCCCAGCTGGCGTGCTAGGCCTGGTCTCGGGGGCCCTGAGCGGGGGCGGAGGGCCAGGCGCCAGCTAGTCCCGCAGCAGCGTGTACGCCTTGGGCGCCCAGAGCAGGCGCGGGCGGCGGATTTCCGCCCGCGGGCCGATGTCCTGGCTCCAGCAGAACTCGGGCGACAGCACCTTGGTGGGCTTGTGCAGCCAGAAGAACTTGTTGAGGTGGCTCTCGTCGTGCCAGAGTGCCTCGAGGCCGCGCGCGCGGTCCCGTCCTATGCCCCGCGCGCAGTGCGCCGTGAGCCCGCGCAGCGCCGCCACGCTGCCCCCAAACAGCGCCGCGTGGTAGTAGAAGTCGCCCTCGCCCGGCGCCAGCGCGGCGGCCGAGCGCGCGTCGCGCTCGAAGGGCAGCAGGAGCCGCGGCCAGCGGTAGTGCCAGGCGTGCAGCTGCGCCACGGACTCGGCCAGCGTCTCGGGCCCGAAAGCGCCGCTGAAGTGCTGGTCCACGTCCATGCAGAACAC